TGAGAAATTAAGAAGACAACTCAAAATAAACATACATGTTTTTACAATTTAAGCATCACAACACGAGAAATGAAAACAAGAACCTAATCTGCATCTCCAATGTACACAAAATAACTCATCTCCATTGGATATACTAAAAAATAATAATTCTACAGCATTAGACGATATCAGAATATCTTCAAAAGAGACGATGAAAAACCATTTACATCCCGACCCATTTTACCCACCTGAAAACTTTGCCGACTCTGTAGGGCAATTCGTAGTCTTTGCAGACAGCAGGCTCTCTTCTAGCAGCCTCAGGTTCAGACCAGACATACACACCACGCTCCTGTCGACTGCCTGGAACCGTGTTGTCAAGAATAACAGCTACTATGAATGCAATCACCATGTTAAAGGACAACAATGTATTCAGCACATAATTTAGCTGTCACAAGAGATACAAAACTATTGTTTAGGAAAATACTCAAGGATTGTGTTGGTTATTAGTGAATGAGCAAGAAAATATTTACCCCTCCGAATTTGGTGCGTATAGGACCATGAGAAGCCACGATATACGGCTGGAAGTAACTCGGAACAGACAAGTTTGTGTTCGGAGAGATACCATACTGCTGAAAATAAGCTGGTATTGAAAGGGACAAGAACAAAGACAAGCCAACAATTATAATGTTCCTTGAACTCCCTGCCTCGCTATACCGTAAATTTGACAACCCCAATGCTGTAAGCATTGCCCATATAAAGCACAAGAGAGCTGCTACCATGACTTCAGGTATTGATGCGATAAAACCCCCAACTTTACCTGGTACCACAAAACAGAAGATTATGCACCCCTGAAAATTGAAAACTTAAAAAGGTCTCCGAGTGTGTCAACTATCAGATAATTCCTTTTATTTGAAGCAAGACTTGAGGCAGAACTTGTTTTTTTCTGTTTATGGCAAGATCCCAATATTCAACACATATGTCATTGCTAATATAATCCTAGTTAAATTGCAAAACACATACCTATAAATGATAGGATAATTAAAATGCAAGCGCCCAACTCAACTGCTCTGCGACTTCCCATTTTAGTAACAGCAATCGTGTGTATATTCTCAGTCAAAGTTGAGAAGCCAGTTCCAGTACCCAAAAGACCAGCCAAGACACTAGAAAGACCTTCAAGACCAATTCCTCGACTTACAACTCCTGGTGTTGGAGGTCTAGATGCGACCAACAATGATGATGCGTGATACGAACCAACCTAGAAATTAACAAAACTGAAATAAACAGCATATCCAACATAGATACAAGATTATAGGAAAAAATAATGCCGCAAATACAACTCTCAAGATTTTTTAATATAATTTTCTTTGGCAGGCCACGACAAATTTTTCCAGTCCTAATGCCTGGATGTTTAGAGTTCACCCTAGCGCACGGTTTATATCTTCCTACATAAGGTACAATGTTTCATTCAATGAAGATTAGACAAATATATAATTCAATCCTATAATTTTAGGATGTTAATAGTTGCTGAAAATTTCAAGTCCCCATTTCATCAACGTTAATGTTACGAAAAACAAATAAACTTTCCTGCAATATAGTCTTTAGAAGGTCTAAAAGATCCAACTCCATTTGGTCCAAAGAATGAATGATCACTAAAATGTCAATCCATAATTGCAAATAACATGGCCTATACATATAAAATGCTCCAAAGGTCATGTTCGCAAGGCAACAATAGAAATGCTCAAGTAACTGCTGTAAATTCTCGCATTTTCATGGTCCAAAAAGCTTATGAAGGGAAATAAATAAAACTAATTACTAGCTTCTATTGTTTCATAAGCATTATCAGGGTTTGAGAGAGAGAGAAAAGTAGACAAATTATTGAATAACTACACAGTAAAACACGAACACCAGAAAGAAAACTCAAAGAATCATCTAACATCCCAAAAACATAACTGACATAGATTGCAACGGGAGTTGGATGGAAGACTTTGGCAAAAATATTTTAGTCATAGAGATAACAAGTGGTTTTGAATTCTTAGTTTTAAGTCACAGCTTCTCCAGCATCAGATAGGATATTAGAACGAAAATAACATC